CCTATTTTTCTCTTTCTCTCTTTTTTTAACATGTTGAAGGGTTTAATTTTGCGGGGACCATAGCAAGAGTAGCTAGGAAGCTTTAAACATATGTGATATTTATTGAAACGTTTGGTTTATAGATTTAGAATCATGATTTATGATTTTAATTTTTAAAATTCAAATTTTTTATAATGTTTATAGCAAGCTTTAAACATATATGATTTTTTTATAGCAAGAGTAGCTAGGAAGCTTTAAACATATGTGATTTTAATACTGTAAAAAATTAAAAATTATGATTCAGAACCCTTAAAACAAACAACTCAGCATGTTTCAAACTGTTTTTAATTTTCTTATGCTAATTCAACGAGGCTTATAATTTTTTGCACGACAAGTAGTTAAAAAGCCCTCGTGAATTTCGACACGTGTATTGAAATAACTTAAATCTTATTACTTGTTTGCGTTTTATTTGCAGATAAATAAAATTAATTATAGCCATTTTGATTATCTTTATTCTCACACGTTTTTATTCTTCTCTAGCAAGTTCTATATAAGATAAGTACTATCAACTCTCTTTCTTTCTTTCTTTGTTCAAATAATGATTTGTTTTCACTAAATTCATCTTGTTGCATAGCTCAAGCAAAATTACTTGCGCACTTAATTTCCAATTAAGATTAATTATTAAGTAGCTGAAGTTAATTATCACCGTTCTTTAACAACATTTCAAGTGCTTCAACGACCCTTTTTTTTTGTGCTAAACTATTTTCTTTTGCTAATCTTGTGCTAAACTATTTAATTATTTTTTAACATTTTATAAAATTTACTTTTCCTTTCAGAAAGTGACATTTACATAGAGAATAACAAGAGAAGCTTGTATAAGATTGATTTGGCTGACCCATATGTGCTCTAGGACAAATTTAAATCATTGTTGTCTTAGGACACGGATGTTGAAATATGGCTAATGCACATTGCAAATAATTATTCGTCAAAAACCAAACCTGCAAATTAATAAAGTACATGCTTATCCTAACAACTTGGAAACTAGTACACACATAATAAATTATCTTCTCCTAATAGCTACACGGTACTCGTGATCTGTACAAGCGGCAGATTTGTTTGCTTGTATTATTATTATTATTTTTTTTTAGTAGAAAATATGTCAATATAAAAAATTTAAAGAAGTATATAAATCAACTTTTAATTATAGAAATTAATAGGTCATAACTTGTCAAGTTATAATTTATAATCAGATAAATTATGAACAAACTTATCAAGTTATGGTTCATAATCAGACAAGTTATGGACAAAAACCGTAATTTATGAACAATAACTTATCAAGTTATGATTCATAACCAGATAAGTTATAAACGAAAACAGTAATTTAACCTATTTATTAACTTATGTAAACTATTAACTTATTAATTTTAATTCATCTCAAGTCTTGACTTATTTTCCTCTTTCTCCCTTATTTTTTTTGGTGCTTTTCAGAGTCAAACAAATTATTATAGTCATTTCATTTTCAAAATGACACGCACAAATATTTATATGATGAAATTGTAGGAATTTGGTAATTTTGTACACAAATTTGCTGAACAGGATAATGAAACATTAAACTCTCAGGAGCGAAGTTAGCAATGTTGCATATTTTCTCAAAAAAAAAAAACAGAGAGGAGCAAAATGAGCATGACATCCAGAAATCCCATACTGTTTTTTCTAGTCATCTGCTTCCAGCAACTGAAAAGAAAAAACAGCAATTGATACGCAGAATATAATTAATTCAATGATTTAAGTGCTTTTAGTCATAAAACATTCAATTGCAAATGAATGAAATCTGAGCCAAGCCTAAACCATACTCTCACAACAACACCAGCGAAACTGCTGAGGGGACGAGTTGACTGCAATCAAAGTTTCCAAAATCTCACAAACAGCACTACAGGAGAAAAGGGTTCTTAATTTTTTTTATTTTTTATTTTTTTTCAGTTTACTGATCTCCCACTCCCCCTAAATCAATCCGCCGGATCGGATGCAATCATACCTTCCAAGAAACAAGAGAGTAATTCGGATATAAATACGAGATAGAGAACATGTCATTTCGTACAGAGTAAGCTGGAGTTCTATCTAGAGGAACTACTCGTGCCTGCCAAGGAGGGTTTGCTACTAGATAAGACATCCTTCGCTGGTTTAGAATCTGAATTGATGGCAATATTGCCCATTCCAGCCTCCATCGCTTCTCTTTCGTCGTTTTCCTTCTTTTTATTTTCGATAACAGCGCCATCCACAGCTTGCTTTTCATCGGAGGTAATAGAGGGTTCCAGAAGACGGGGGCCTGCATTAAGCCATGGATGAAGAAGACACTGAGCAGCAGTGGGCCGTTTCTGAGGGACAAAGTCTAGAATGGGAACCAGGAAGTCCGTCACATCATTTGCATCTTGCTCACTGAATTCATATTTCTCTACTAGGACTTTATTAAGAGGCCAAAACCGCAAGCGGCGGATGTGCCGTAGATCACCGTATCTATTGAAATAATCACGGGAATAGCGACCACCCAAAGCAATCTGAGAACAGCCACCAGCACTTTTGAGTTAGATAAAAGTTCCATAATATAGTTAATAGGTGAAGTAATAACTGTCTTACCTTTCGGGGCATCATTCCAAGAAGCTCCATCATCAGTGCTAAGTGATCCTGAAACAGAACAGCAGATTACTAGATCAGCCATACATTTTCCTCCTATCACTCCCTTTTTTTTTTCTTTCCCTTCGGTCAATTTGAACTTCACGTTCATGGATAGTAGTTAAGTCAAAATTAATGTAGAAACTGTTATATTCTGCATACTTCAAGAAAGACAATCATCCCTAGCGCTTAAACAAGATATCAAAATCAAGAGAGTAAAGCGAGTCCCAGTTATGCAATTACTAATAAGAGTAACCAAAGGATATTTTGTTTCCTCTTGCATACCATATCTTTGGAATATAAAAAATCACTTTTTCCCCCCTTCTATACCGAGAAATACATAATGGTGATCTTTGTGCACAAGATAACCGAGAACCTACGTGATATTTGTTCACAAGAAATAGACATTAGAACCAGTAAGCTAGCATTTGTGCACAAGACATTCTTACTCCTATAAAAGGCGGAGGATAATACCAAAAGAGAATACTAAGACAGCATGTGAAAATTGGAATAAGAGACTAACAATGCACAAAGAACTAAACCTTTCCAAATTCCTTTGACAAAAATCAAATATATATATATATATATATATTTGCCTTGATTGTTTCAGTTTCTAATCATGGGTGTGCATTTAGACTAGAGAGGAAGAGAAAAAAAGGAAGAACAAAACACTCGTTACTCTGGTGTAGGAATTAGTAAAACTACATAGTCCGACCAACTAATGTTCTATCTAGTAGTTGATACAGGCTTCGATGTTCTTGGTTTAGGTCAATCAATGAATTCAAATCAACACCAAACTGGTATAGGCAAAATGGTCCTAGAATAAGATCATAAGAATTTTCAAATAGAGAGATAGAACAATAAGCAGGCAAATATTAAGGGCAGAACAGAAAGCAAAGCATTTGGTCTTGGGCAATATAACTATAGCAAGTTTTGGATCCACCAATACCTCATCCCTGTCAAAGTTGTCGCCACTGTGAGGATCAAAGAGTACATCACCAGTTGCAAGCTCAAAACAGATGCACGCAAAAGACCAGAGATCCGCTGAAGTGGAATATTTAGAGCCCAGGATCACCTCAGGACATCTATATTGTCTGGTCTGAATATCATTTGTGAACTGTTTGTATGTCCAGCAAGCATTCCCAAAGTCAACCAATTTGCACTTCAAGTCAGCTGATGCCAAAAGCTTTTTCCTTGTCGAACGACTTCCTCTCCTATTACCCTGTTTCTCTGACCCGGTGTCCTTTGTCCCATCAGCAGCTGGCAATGTACTATTGGGATTGACAGAACTACTGGGATGGTCTTCCACAGAATCCACATTCACCTTTTCATCAGTGGATTGCCCTCCTGCACCAGATGTTTCAGCATCGGCTTCCACCGAAACTTCCTTATCTGCACAACCCTGTGCCGCTTGCTTTGCCTTTCTTCGAATCTTTTTCTTCTGGTTTCTAGTCAAATCCCCGTTTGATGTCTTTATGTCTTTTGCCACTCCAGAGTCCAATGCAATCTTATCTTTACTACTTGGTAGAATGGGAGGATTGCCTGAATTTCTTGGATCTTTAGCTGGGTCTATCATCGACAACAACAAGATGTTTTCTGGCTTCAAATCAGTGTGTATAATAGAGAGCTGTCTGTGCAAGTAATCCAATCCCACCAAAACATGAAAACAAATCTCCTTAACCATGTGTATTGGCAATCCGCGGTAATCACTGTACTTAATAAACGTCAACAAGTTATCCCCCAAGTACTCAAAAACCATACAAACATGCTGTCCATTCGGACCCGAATGCTTAAAATGGTCCAAGAGCTTCACTACACACTTTTTATCCTCAGGATCTCCTTCCGCAATTTGTTTCAAGATCGTTATCTCATCCATGGCCGCCTCCGTGTAATGGGCAGCACTCTTTTGCACTTTCAAAGCAACATATCTCTAGTGTTCGTACAATTTTGATCCCCAAAAAAAGAAAAAAAAACGCACATTTCACTAATCCATACTTTACATACTTTAAGCAACACAAAATAAGAATAAAAAAATAATATTCATACTCTACTGGAATCCAAAAGAATAAAAACCAAAACAGAGCTTGCATTTTTCAGTCATACACAAAAACATACCAACTGAGCTCAAAATATTCGTTTCTTTTTCTCTTTCTAGGCAACCAAACACACTAAGAACTAAATCCGCAAACAAAATCCCTAGATTAAAAGTCAAGTTTTTTCGCGCAATAAGTGAAGGAAAACGAAGTAAAGAGCATGAAGAGAAAAGAGATTGAGCGAAAAAGTGAGTACAGATTGTTGAGTGTCCCATGCGAGCCAGACGGTGGAGAAATGTCCCCAACCGAGCTTGCTCTGGACGACGTATCGGCCGTTCTTGAAGGCGTCGCCGATGCGTACGGCGTGGTAACCTCCGCGGCGGTAATCCTCCGTACCTTCGTCCTCCGACGTGTAGTCGCCGCCGCTGTCCGTCCGATCGTCCTCGAGCTTGTCCTCCATTGACGACGTCCCGATCACTTTCCTTTTCTCCGAGTTCTAGGGTTTTGTTTGGGCGTTCGATTATGGTTTATCGAGCAGATTAAAAAAAATCAAATAAATAAATAAATAAAAAAGAGGGGAAGAAAAACTGAAATGAGTAAATTGCGGTTGAACCCCTTACCTTTGGTGACTTTTGCACTTTGCACCCATAAAAGAGTTTTTGTCACAGTGTCAACTGTCAACCACGGAAGAAAAAAATCTTTCCTTGGCTCTTTTTTTAGTATGTTTCATGTAACCGTAAATTTTCATGAAGTTCTGTTAAAATTTCACATTTTTATAAAAATAATAATAATAACGATAACAATTTAAGATAATATTCTATGAATAAGATACCTTAACTAAAATTCGTAAACTTTTTTTAAAAAAAATGACCTATAATATGATCTTCAATTTAAAGGGGGAAAAAAGATAAAATTTTAGTGTATACATGTTATTTATTGTTTCCTACAAATAGAGTAAATTAATCAAATATTTAAAACACTTGCTCCATCGTATTACAAAACAAATATGTCTTCTATAGTAATTTTTATTTCGACAAAAAACCACTAAAAGCTTCATGGTTAAGGACCTTGTAGTGGAGGATGTGGAGAGAAATATATATATATATATATATAATCGACCATCATCAACATTGTCATGACAAAACTAAAGAGTAAATTGATACATCCTCAATTTTAGGATTTACATAATGTATATATGAAATATAGGAAATATTTAAATCCTTTTAAGGATCAATATATACTTAACTTGAGTAAGTAATAAAAATTTGAGTTTTACACTATGTTAAACATTAACCAAAAAAAATGTTGAGTTTTGCATGAAAGTCATTATTTTGCTCTAAAATCAATAATGTACTAAATACCAAATTCCCGTATTGAAATATTCAAAAACATATTGTAATTAAAATTTATCGATGTGTAATCTTTAGATGGATTTGAATTGTCGATGATAACTGTTGAGATTTTCAATGGTTGAACCGAAGCGACACTTGGGTTGAATGACTTGTAATGGTTCATCTTCAAGTAACTAGTTTGAGGGAGGTGCCTAAGGCACATCCCGTTATTAACTTTTTTTTTTCACTCTGCAATTTACATTTTTTTCACATTATTAAAAATTATTAAGTATGATAAGTAACGTTTCAATATAAACATATTTTTTTAATTGTTTCTTTAAAAATAAATAAATAAATATGCTAATAATTCAATTTTTATTATGCATAATAATGGTTGAAAAAAAATCTAAAAATGTATACATCTTCTCTACCACTAACAATATTTGTGCAAGTAAAAAGAATAATAATAAATGAGGTGTTGAAAGAGAAAGTTAATGAATAAAATATTTTAATAAGAAAAAAGAAGAAGAAAAAAAATAATATTTAATATAAAATTAAAGAAAATAGAAAAGTAAAAAAGCTAAAAAAAATACAATTTATGCTAGAAAGCAAAGTTTTTTTTTTATTTTTTTATTTTTTTTAAGGCAAGCAAGCAAACAAGCAAAACTTCATACCTCATCCGCTCTTCTTATATAGAAGATATATGTAAAATTTCAATGAAAATGATGGTGATTTTGTCTAATCTCTACTCAATGAATAAGTATTTGTGTATTTGAGAACAAGCCATAACCCCTCAATGAAATTACATGAGTTCATAAATTTTGTTTTTTAGATTGGAATCACAATTTAATCTTTTTATTACAGTATTTTTTTTTATAAAAATTTAAATTTTAATTTAAATTTTTCACTCAAATCTATTAAAAGAACACCCATGATAGGCCACTGAGCACCAAGCATAGGCCATTTATCTTTGTAAATTGAGCTTTTATGATATATATTTTTAGTGCAAATTAGAGAAAGGTTGCAAAATGAAAATTCATTTTAAAAAAAAAAGAACTAGTTGATGGTGAATTCTGAGCGACATGCTTAAAAAGTTGTTTATAGGGGGAGAAGTATCAAAATACTAGAATTGAAGGGAGTAGAGTGCAATTTACTCAAATAAAAAACAGTACGGTGGATCACCGTGAGAGAGACAGAAGAGAGGAAATTTCTGTGTTGATTTTCGCAGGTCTTTTGTCTAGAAGCGAGGGAAATTATCAACTACGATAACTCTAGAGTAACACACGTTTCGGATTGGATCAATTTTTATCCATTTCAAGGTCGTGTGACGTGTCGTCCTCAGCTTCATCAATAGTTTCTTCGTGATCACTGATTATCCTGATCTTATCTGGTTTGGTCCCACTTATTCTTTTCTCTTTTTCCTTTTTCGTTTATTTTACTCTTTAGCAGGCTTTTTATTTCTACTTTTTTTATTAAAAAAAAAAGAATTCTTTTAGATGGATAATTGAGATTGAGAATATGGCTTTGAATGGATTCCGATTTACTGCAAGAAATACCATTTTTTTTCAATAATTAAAGAGTAAATTGGACATGAACTCAAAACTAAATTTACAAATGTATATAGCATAAAAAAAAATGCGAGTTGAATTAAGTTTTTTTATAATACTTTACTTTTTCTAAAATATATTAATGTACTTTTCAGTTACATCCTTCAAATTTAAAATAGCAAGCTGGAGAAGAGGAGAAAAAGAAAAGAAATAAAAAGAAAGGAGCGACCAATTATGATCCCAAATCACGGAAAGATAGGTGATCCCACACAAGTTTTGCAATCACACTTTAACCAAAAATAGTGTGTTGATGGCCATCTACTTTTTTCCCAATTTGAATTTTATTAAGAAAAGGACTACGGCATGTATACAATTTATTAAGTCATGATTTAGATTGTATAAAAAAATATTATAATAAAAATGTTAAATTTAAATTTATATAAGAGAAAATACTGTAATAATATGACTTGAATTATAAAATCAAGAAGCCTAAAATTTTCTTAAAAGTTTACCAAAAAAAAATTCTAAAAAGTATATATTGATTTATATTTGCATGTTCTTGTCATTTTTAGTTTCGGTATTTCTTTTTTATTTTCTGCTACATTATTTCTCGGTCTAATATCCTTTTTGATGCAGCGGAATTGGAAAAAATTACGTCAAAGCCATGGCGGAACCAAAGAATGATGCACAATTCAACAAGTCCCTTTTCCAAAAAAAAAAAAAAAGAAAAAAAAATCAATAAGGGAAATATAATATTCAAATCTACCCTAAAACCAAAGCAAAATGAAGCAATTTATATCAGCTACAATACAGAGTATCACCAGCTAATACAAATACAATTGACTTGAGCCCGTTTGGTTAGATGATTCGTTATCTGATTCGAATAATGGTTCATGGTTCGCTACAGTATTTTCTCTCACAAAAAACATATGTAAATCAAAAATGATTCTGATCTCATAGTTCTAATCCATGAACTAAACGGACTCTAAAACGACAAACCAATCAAAAGAAATAAACGAAACGACAAAACAACAATATGAGCTACCCAATAAAGCAACAGCAACGAACGACATTTAAAGAGATAAACGACAACACTCTTTTTTTAGCCGGAAAAATGACAACACTCTTAACTCACTCTTAATGGTGGTACCGAAGCTCCTAGATCAACTCTTTTGTGAGTTTTTTTTGGTCTTTTTTCTGCAATAAATTTTTTGTGAGATTTTTAGTGCATATAAAATACTTATCCACTCCATACGACAAAAATAAAAAATAAAAAAAATAATAATTCTCCAATAAAATAAAATCTGAGTGGGCCACTAAATTAGTCGGCCCAAGAATGTAGCCCAAGTCTAAAAGTGTTAGTAGGGCTCTCGTCCAACTCTCGGGCTGTAAAGGCCCAGTCATAGAGTGGTAGTTTCGTAGTTTTTCAAAATCACAAGGTCTATTTATATTGATTCTTGGTATAGATACCCGCGTCATAGCAAGCTCCTAGGGTTTTTCCGCACCGGAGGAGGAAAAAAGCAGCAGCCACAAACAACAAGAGCAGCCATGGTTCTCAAGTACGCCTCTCTCTCTCTCTCTATATATATATTTATATATATATAATTTCGTTTATGCGAATAGCTAGATCTAGTTATTTGATGTTTTTTTTTTCAATTGTTGAATATCTTTAATCCTTAGCTCTGTTCAAATTCAGAGGCCGGTTAAATTTTTTTAGGGGAGCTTAATTTCACTTGTTGTTGCTGTTGATGATGATGAAATTGTTGAAATTGATATTTTTTTTTCGTTTTCGGGATTGTGACAATAATTGGCTTTGTTACACGTTAAAGATTTGGGATTTTAGGGCTTAGATTGTCATGGTGGATGATTTTCTCTAGGGTTCAATATTTAAGATAAAGAAAACTAATCTATAAATAATTTGTTTAGAAATTATATATTGGATTAAGATTATTTGGGCTTGTTTGAAAAATCTGGTGAAGTTATTTGGTTGTTCTGCTCCTAGGATATATATGATGGGAATTTTAATTTAGTTTTCTGAATATTAAGTGGCAAAGAATTATCGGTTTTCATCAATAGTTTGAATCTTTATACTTAATGTCCAAAGTTGTGTTTTGATTTTTGATTTTGGTCTTTTAGGACGGAGCTCTGCCGTTTTAGTGGTGCCAAGATATACCCTGGGAAAGGCATCAGATTTGTTCGTTCTGATTCTCAGGTAAATTAACACCTAAATTTGTTCAACTATTTTGCCCATGTTTCTTTTTAAATTTAACCCCTAGTTTTTATACAATGCGGGATCAAACTTGCACCCTCCCAAACCCAAGCCCCACCCCACCCAATTATTTTGCCCAAGTTTTTACTGGTCAAGTCCCTTCCCGGTTGTTGCTTTCGTCTTTCGGACATTGGAGAGGGAAGTTGATCTGTTGGTAACTGTCGATCTAAAGTTTTTTTTTTGGGAACTGTTAGGTGTTCTTGTTTGCAAATTCCAAATGCAAGAGGTATTTCCACAACCGCTTGAAGCCATCTAAGCTTACCTGGACAGCCATGTACAGGAAGCAGCACAAGAAGGTAGATATCCATCCTTTGTTTTTTGTTCTTCCCCTGTATGAACTTATCTAAATGATGGACATGTACTTCTAGCTCTAAAATATTTAGACAATCAAAGGTCGTTGTGGGATGCACGTAACTGTGTTTATGATTTGGACACACTTTAGGATATTGCCCAAGAGGCAGTAAGGAAGAGGAGACGTGCCACTAAGAAGCCTTACTCTAGGGCCATTGTTGGTGCCACCTTGGAGGTTATCCAGAAGAGGAGGACTGAGAAGCCCGAGGTTCGTGATGCAGCAAGGGAAGCTGCTCTCCGGTGCGTTTTCATATCTGTTCTCATATCCCCTTGATTGGCTTCAAGTTTACTTTACAATATACCAGAGGGATTTACTTTGATTGTAGTCTTATGGAAACATTTTGATTTGTCTGAATGTGTTGTGTAGTGAGATTAAGGAAAGGAACAAGAAAACAAAGGATGAAAAGAAGGCCAAGAAGGCAGAAGTCACGGCCAAGACACAGAAGACACAGGGCAAGGGTAATGTTGCCAAGGGAGCTGCACCGAAGGGCCCAAAGCTTGGTGGTGGTGGTGGAAAGCGCTGAGCCATTCAATTGGTTTATCGTCTACCCATTGCGACGCAAAGTAATAGATAGGAGATATTTGTTAGTTTCCAAATTAAAGTGTTTGTAAGGATTGAGTTGGCCTTGTTTGTTGGCCAAAGCGCTTTTGTCTTTTTGTTGTTTATCGTTCAAAGATTTGGCACTTCTTTATCAGGTTATGCGAGTACACTTTTTAAGTTCTCACCCCAATTTATTTTATTGAAAGCTACAGTGACCTCGACCCCCTTACTCAAAATATTGAGTATATGCCCACCTGGGAAATGACATATGCTTATTTAGGTGCAAACTACCGTATAACATGTAGTGGAGAAGCAGTTTCGAGCTTCTTTGCAAAATGACCCCTTTTTTGAGGTGATATGTTATGGAGTCGTTTGGATAAGTTAGGATTAACTTTGTATTGGCCAAGGCTTTTTAAAGTTTTGAACATACAAACATGGTTATTTGTAAGTTTGATGTGAGCAAGTGCCACTTTAACGGTTAACTGTACAAAAATTGTTATGGAGCTTTTTGACAGGCTAGTCTGTGACAGTTTTTGTGACAGTTTTTGATTGTTGAATCAGGTTAAAAAAATTATATTAAATTAAAAAAGTATAAAAATAAATAATATTTATACAAATTTAACAATTAAAAATAAAAAATTATTGATAATTTATTATTTTATTTTTTCGAATCCTATTAGATAAGCTTTCAAATAGTCAATGGTATGGAGAACTCTCCAGCAAAGGAAGAAAAAAGATATCCTACCTGGCCGTGTGGTAAGTTTTTTTTTTGAAGTTTTCTGTAGTTTCTCTGTCTCATATATTACACATTCACAAAACTATCCTAGTGCTACCTACTATTATTGCATAGTTGCAATTATCCTAATGGTAGTCGTTAGGATTATTTTCACGTGTCCATTTAAATTTAAATACATTCTCATTTTATTTCTTAAATTTTTAAATTAGTCTCACTTATCTTCTTTATTAGAATTCTCGTTAAGAATAGACGAGAAAGAGGAAGTTAAGTGCGGTTATGCGTTCTTTTCTGTTTATTTTTAATAAGAATTTTAACAAAATATTTAAGGGAGATTAATTCTCTCTTTTTCTTTTTTCCATTTGTTTCTAATAAATTTTTTTGACCAAATAGGTTAAGTGAGACTAATAAAATGTGAGTTTTTAGTTTGTGGAGTAAAATATGAGAATGGCCGTAAAATTAGGAAGGCAGAAGTATTTATCTTAATTGTATTAGGCATGTTCTTTTGTCCAAAAAATTCAAAAAAAGACAACTCAAGTTTCAATTTTATTCAAGTTCACGTTCTTTTAAGTTTTAACTTTATTCAATTTTACTCAACTTTATTCAAGTTTTAACTTCAACTCAAGTTATAACTCAAATTTAACTCAAAAACTACACTCAAGTTATACTCCAAAAGAACAACCCCATTATTTCTTAATTCCAGTCAAATAAAAAACTGCTATAATTCTTAATTTTGAACTAAACATGGTTACTGCTTACAGAGTGAACTATACGAATACAAACCCACTGGGCCCCTGGATATGACAGTTTGTTTTGGAAGCAAAGTTGTTTGGCATCAAGTTACAACTTTTTAAGTTAAAAAGGAACACTTTTTATTCTTTTATTTGGAAAGTAGAAGAGCAACTTTTCATGTGTATCCATGCAAAAGATCAAAAAGAGAGACAGAAGGTATCAAAAAGAACTGAAGAAAAAACCAGAAGAAAGAACAGCATGAGTGCATGGCAGAAGGTTGTGGATCCCAATATGGAGAAGGGTACAAAATTAGATACCTCTGTTGAGGACAAGACTAATCTTTTGGTCAACTCCTAATTTTTTCTTACTTTGCACCCACCCGTGAACCTTCTTCTTCTTCTCTATGGGAAGACAAGGGTGCATTTTGATTCTGATATATTGTCATGTATTAGTAAAAACTTTTTAACGTCAAATTGAAACATTTACCAAGTCTTTCAAGACCAACAAGTATGTCATGGTTCGGAACATGATTCATAATAAACTAACAGAATTTAAGTTAGATACGGTATTTTTTTCGTATTTTACCGTATAATAATAGAATAAAACGGCTTTTGTCATTCAAATTCTGCCGGAGGCCAGTACATGGTTGGCCATTAATCCAACATTGATCCCCTTTATATCCTATTTTTGACCAAATCCGTCCTAACATATATAATTATACTTTGATAAAGCACATTCTTGGTCTTTATCCAAGAGATGAAGAAAATCCCACATCATACCACACACTCTTATTAAGAAAAGTGAGACGCTGATAGAGACAAAATATATCATGCAAATACATACATACATACGTACATATATATATATATATAATTCTTTCATTGCTATATATCAATTGTCTAATGCATCAGTACAGAGCTAGCTTGGAAATTGATTAAGCAACTGAGATCCCATTTCACTAATTAGATAATTAGACTAGATCAGGAGGCCTAAGTTATTGTTACTAACTTGGACTAATTGATCAAGATAGATCACAAGCTTTTAAATATTCTAAGGATAAGAAGGGAGATGTCCCCAGTAATTAGTTGGAGGTGATACTGGGTTGTATTCCTCCATAGTGAAAATATTATTGCACTGATCTGCAGCCATCTGATGCTGGTTTGTTCCTTGAGACTTAATGCTCGAGCTCCGAATGGCGCCCGACGTGCTCTCCACCGTCTCCTCCCCGCCGGAGATTTCCGTGTAACCGCCCGTTGACACTTGCTTCCAGGTGATTTGGTCTCTTAGCATAGCTTTCAGTTTCATGACCTATATATATGTCATCAGATAGAATATGACTAAAAGCACTATTACTATAGGTAATCCATATAATATTGTGCATGGCTTAAAGATCTCTGTACAGATAGTATGTTTTCGAAATATTTCTATAACTAGAAGATTGCATATAGTCCAGTTTTACAGTGCCAAAGAATCTCACGCTTTAAATAAAACAATTAATTCCAAGTTTTATTCAAGCAGAACAAAAATCTTCCAAGTTTGAGAGGATTGCTTTATTCCAACAAAAAAAGAAAGAGTTTTGCAACATTGAAGATCACATGTGTCGATAATATATATATATATATGTATATATGATGCTATGGTGAGAACTTCATTGTACAACCTAAAACTCATGCGAGCGATGCTCATGACTGAAATTCTTACATACATATACGTTATATATATTTGTATCTGCAATATATTCAACAATGAACCAATATTTCATGCATGCTTTGCATGAAATATATGAAAGAGAGTTCTTTGCACTGACACATACAGATATATACATATACATATATATATATTTATATATAGACATAATACCTCGTCTTGTAGTTTCTGCTTTTCTTTGGAGATGGCATCAAACTCCTGTTTAAGGGTATCGTACAAGCGCTCAACCTGCTTAGCCTTCCAGCGAGCCCTTCTGTTCTGAAACCAAACAGCAATCTGACGAGGCTGAAGCCCCAGCTCTCTTGAGAGCTTCATTTTCCTATCCGGGTCGAGCTTAATCTCCTCTTGGAAACTTCTCTCCAGAGAATCTAACTGATCACTTGTTAACCTCTTCTTCTTGTCCCCATAACTACTACTTATAATACTATTATTAATGTTGTTCTTCATCTCCATTCCCGGAACTAACCCTTGGGAAACCGCCTCCGAAAGCATTCCTTGATGCTTCATCTCCATTCCTTAAAAAAAAAAAAAAAAAAAAAAAAAAAAGAATGATCGAGTTATGTTGTCAAACTCTAGTTGGTATATTCCGGTGTACTGAACTTTCTTGAACTGTATAGTGAATAAACTCTACAGTTGTGGTTCTAACGGTAATTCTATATTCACTTCTAACGTTGAAGTTTTAAGTTCCAATCTCGTAAACTCGTACTCTAAAAAAAAATTGTTGAAGTTGGACAAGTAGTCAAGTAATATAAACTGCTACCAAAAAAAAAAAAAAAAATGGAGGTACCATAAATGACTATTTTTCGTCATGACTTTCCAAGAAAGCAGGATTTTGGTGATCACGGTTGAACATGGAATTCATACCAAATTTGAAAACTGTTATAAGGGTGTTATGATGAAGTCGTGATATTGAATATATACATATATATATAGAAAGGAACAAATATATATATATATATATATATATATATATGTGATCACGGTTGAACATGGAATTCATACCAAATTTGAAAACTGTTATAAGGGTGTTATGATGAAGTCGTGATATTGAATATATACATATATATATAGAAAGGAACAAATATATATATATATATATATATATATATAAAGA